TTTTTTTTGTGTCTGTGGAAATTATTGTATAAACTGGTAATGTAAATCGACTAACAGATCGGCGGTATTTTAGGTGAAATATGAAAGCTGTTTGCTGCTGCAATTTTTCACATTTGAGCGAATGATAATGAAAGATTTCGGTTATACGAGATGATAGAAATTTGAGTTTGGGTTAGATTATATCATCCAGCACTTTTATTATAATTGGGCGCTTAAGCAATTTTACAATTCTTAAATGATGATGCGGAAAGTTAAATGCCTATGAAGAAAAGTCACGATGTGAAAAATTAATCTTTCCAGAGAAAAACTCGTTATTCGAACTGGTTGATCGCTTAGTTCGATGTCATTAAATCCATTTGACGACAGTTATATAGATCCGAGTGTTTACAAAGGTGAATGCAATTATTTTTATAGCATATCAATATTCGTTGCGTTTTTTAAAATTTGCCTCTCACGAACACTTCAACATGGTTTAACCCCGTAAGGAACAAAATATCACTTAGTACCATCATTTCATGATATCACTATTCATCCTCAACAAACTCTAATTAAGTTGCATCACCCATTTTTTGATTGCCTTAACAATTAATATTCTTTTCATATTGACGTCTGCTTGTATAGACAACATTGACTTGATACATGTTTAAAATTTATTCAATTTTCAGAACCGGTAAAAAGTTACACAACGGTGAATTCTAACAATGGTGACGGCAGCATCGAAGATGATGTTAATTTCTATGAACGAGAACTGGAGCGTTATATGCAAGAATCATTAGATAGTACAGAGCGATCGAAGAAAAATTTGGAACAAAGTGAACAAATTGGTATCGCAACTGCACAGGTATTGATTATTTTTTTATTTTGAGAAAGATATAGAATGAATTTCTTTTTTTCTTGCATGTTGTGTAAATAATTTGTTTAGGATTTACTAATTCAAAGAGACAAGTTGGAACACACGGAAAAGAATCTTGATGATATCGACAGAACAACGAAAATGACTCAGCGTAATTTGAATAGTTTAAAGTCCGTCTTCGGTGGTTTCTTTAAAAATAAATTTTCCCGTGTACCAAAAGAGGAGCAACTTGTAAGATTTTACTATTTTTCAATATTTATAATTAGGCGAAAATAGAATAAAGATATTTAGAATAGTGGTCTTTTTCAAACGATGATTTTTTCGCCGATTATTTTTTTCACACCACAGTGCATTAAATGATGGTCGTTATCCTAAGCTATATTTCGATCTATAATGAACACAACTGTTAATTAGTGATTTTGTTATTTGAAAACTGAAGTAAATTTTATAACCATTTTATATGAATTCGATTTCTGTCTTAGTACATAGTATACATTGGTTGAGTAGTAAATCATGACGATTAATAATACATATTAATGATTATATCATGAATGTGTATACATTAGTTGCAGTTTATATATGAATAATTGCAGATGATTCCATCAAAACCGGATTCAGTTCTTGGAAACACTGTGGATAAATTAAGTAGTGTTTCCAAAGCAGGTTCAAGTTATGCCGAAGGCGCCGTGTCTGTATCAGGACCAACATTAAGTGAAAGTTCACGGGCAGTAATCAAAGGATCGCGTTGGGAGGCCATGGATAGTGAAATTGACTCTAATCTTGGTAATAAAACATTCTTTCATATTCCACGCTGGTAGTTTCATACAGTTTTAGCAATTTTTTTAAATATAGAATGGATTTAGATTCAATGAGTTCTCAACTGGCTCGATTACGTATGCTTGGTGAGGCTCTTGGCGAGGAAGTTAGTTCGCAGAATGAAATGTTAGATAGAATTCAAGTCAAAGCAGAACGCACCAATATACGTGTCAAGGACCAAGATAAGCAGGTTTGTGCTTTACATGTGCATGGAGTTTCTTTTTTTTTCGTCTTAGGAAAGCATTTATTTTGCATTAGGTTTTCAGTTTTATCTGATATAACTGTAGCTTGATCCGAATTTGTTCATTTAAACTAAGATTATATTTCGAATGATATTAATTTCATGCTTTTTCAGATGAAAAAATTGCTTGGTTCAGCAGACAAAGACGAAGTGCAAACTTCGCTGCCATCTGTTAGCAAGAAAAGGTGAATATTAATTGCAGTTGTTTTTTTTCAAATTTTTAGCCAAGTTGGAGTCAAATTAAATAAGAGAGCTGAGAAAAGGTAATAGCTTAAATGTATTATGTAATAATAAACATGAGAATCTATTATGATGTTTGGAATCATTTTCAGAGTTGTGTATAGTGCGGTCAAAAGTGTTTTCTAATATCCAAACAGCTGCATACGTTCGATGCGAATATTACCTTTTCCCCCCTGTTTCTATAATTTCTTCGAAGTCTTTCCTATACAGTTAAAGTGGAACATAATTATAACTTAAGTTATTAAAATTTATGGATGAAAAGCTGTTAGAACTTAGCATTAATGCCTCACAAAAAAAGCTCCATTGCAAATTACAATCATTTAACGAAATATCATTTGCATTCATATTTTGAAAATGTCTATGAAATTTCTTTTTCCATACACTCTCGTAATTCAACTTACAAAGTATGCTGCGTTTGTTTATTCTGATTATCCTTAATGCGCACCTCTCACATTTTATAACTAAGAATCTTCTCTCTCTCTTTTCCTGTGATTATACTTACACGTAGCAATTTTTTTTAAAGAAGATTAGTACGAAGTGCTATTACCATGGTAGCGAGCTTATCAGTTTGCTACATATTTCTACCTTCAAATTTTCACTGCCACATATTCAGAATTATTTTAAAATTACTTGATGCTAATATCTTTCATATTATTATACTCAAATGACTGTCTGTGGCGTTTTCTTCTCTGATAATTTTTCTTTTGCATGAAATCTTTTGGTCTACATTTGATAGAACTTCATCATATTTCATGAATACTGCTCTGTTATCTGTTAGTGGATACGGTTGATGGAAAACAGGACTATACATCCATATCTTCATAATGTGCTTCTATTTCGATACGATAAGCAGAATAAATTTGTATACTATTGAAATAATTTTAACAATTACAAATATTTTAATCATTACAACAGTCAACAGCCATAAACGTGTGAAAGTTTTTTCATAAAATCTCTTCATTGATAAGTTATTCGCAGGCATCAATATGTCTATCTTAGTTTAGTAGAAGTTTGCTTCGGTTGATGATTATAAATTTCAAGAAAGAAGAAAATTAAAATCAAAACAATATTCAAGCAATAGAATCCTAGTATCAAATTGTAATGATACAGTAACATCCATTTTTTATTGATAAAAAAATCATTACATAACTGTATTAATTTTTCATTTTAAATTACCCTTTGTTGGTTAAATAAAATATTCGTGCAATGATAATAATGATAAAATTTGAGGAAAAGAAAACGATGAAACTAATATTTGTTATTTTTTTTCGCATTAATTAATCATAATTTTATTCATTCTAATCTTGGATGATTATTTCCCGTAAGAAATGCATAACAACTGATGTTACCCAAAGATTGTAAACAATAAAGACTGGTTGTTGTGATATAGGAGAAATCGCCATAAGCACAAATAACATTGAAATAGCCACCAAGAAGCGCTTCAGCTGCTCGCATTATTTTTGTTTTTGCTTCTTTAACTGTTTGACCAGCCATATTCTGTTGTAAATTATAAAATTATTAAAAATTACGTCCAACTATTTTTCAAATTACTTCTCTTTCACTACTTTTTTTCATTTTTTTAAATTCGATTATTTTATTCTAATTATATAATTAATATGCTGAGATTTGCTGATGTTAATTAGTTAATTAAAATGCAAACATTATTAGTAATATCAATTTTATGTGATGAAATATTCTTGTACAATCAATTTTTATTCGAATGAAAAGAATATATAAATATATTGCTTATAGCAAAATTATTCTTTTATGATAACTATTAATCTTTTCTTACCAAAATCTCTTAATCATTTTTCCTTACTATATATATAACATATTGTTGTAATTATAGATAAATTCATTTCCCGTTATTTTATATTAAATATTAAGTTATTACATGGTAAAAAATAAGCAAACAAATGAAATGGGAAAAAAAGCAAATTAATTAATTTTAGTTAATTTCGAATTAATTAATTTCAAGTAAAACTGTACTAGAAAATGTTTAATAAATGAATGATAAGAAATGATAAAAATAGTAGTAACGGTAAGAAAGAAATATATTCTTTCAAGAAAAAACGAGAAAAAAATAAAATGCTATATACAAATATTTTAAGACAATAAAAATGCCTTATAAATAATATTAAGGAATATCATATAACTTGTGATAAGAATTAGGGTTATGATATGGATAAAGTGGTAATAAAGGATGAGTCTTAAAATAGTTGTAAAGTGATAAAGATTCTTTATAGCGAAATTTAATCATTAATTTTAATATATTGCTATTTTAAAAATTCCTTTCTTTCTTTATTTCAAAATTTATAAATGTGTCAAAGAATGTCATAAAATTGAAATCGTCAACTATTACAAATATTAAATCATATATATATATATAAATTCTTCTTTTTCTCTTTCCCTTTCTTCTTTTTATAAAAATGATATGATAAAAATGTTGATTCATTCACCTGTAACATTATATTTTGTAAACTTTTACTATTACACTTTCGTTCATCGATAATTTCAACTTCTTCATACTCCACTTCTCGTCTTTGTATATTATGATTTGTATCAATTTCATTTGTTTCATTCAAACATTTCAATTTACATTTTGTTTCGGATGCACATCTGCATGGTATATCGTCGTCGTTGTTGTTTGCTGTATCATAAGATGATATGTTTAAGAAAAGTATGATTGAAATGAATAATATTTTGAAATTATATCCATCAACACCTTTCATACCTGAAATTTTATTCATTCATATATTTTAATTGAAATTATATAATCTGAAAATTTTGCAATCCTAATTATTAGTAAATAAGAAAAAGAAATAATTATTAAAATTATTTTTGTTCAAGTTTTTTTTCACTTAAGTTAACTAATAACAATTGAATTATATAAGATTTAGGCATACTAACACAATAGATCACTTTTTCTAAGCCTATCTATATATGGAAGTATTTTTTTTAATTTATATCCATATATTTAAGAAAATATTTTTTAAGCTATTTATACCAACCTATCTTCAGTTTACTTGATCTAACTTTAGGCCTATCTATGCAGGCATATTTTCTGCAAGCAATAAGAATACGTTTTCTTAGTTTACATGTAAGGAAGAATCGCATTACTTATACATGTTTATTTTTACAAAGTATATACTGAATACTTCGAAATCATTTTATACAACTTCAAAAATGATCGTTCGATGGATTTCTTATTAACTGGTTGAGCTAATTCATAGATATTTATTCATTGAGTAAAAGATGAATATCTCAAGTGAATTATCCTCAAATTTCGTTTAATAATTATTCAACTTTTAGCTATTTGATAATTATATTATTTATTCCTTTTGCTTTTTTTTTCTCGAAATAATTATAAATTATATTAATTCCTCTTAACAAATTTCTATTAACTTATAAAATATGATATGCATAATTTATTAAAAGATTAAAAATTTTAATTATACAAACATATTACATATTATAAAATTATGACGAATTCATTCTATTAATTAATACTATTATAATTAATAGCATTAATTAATTAACTTAAAATTATATTAGTACAAAATATTTAAAAATTATTCCCAATATAAGAGGATATTTTTCATAAATGAAATAAAATTGATGAATAAAAGATAAGTGGATGAAAAATCAGTAGAAGTTTAAAAAAGTACGAAAGACTATTATTTTTGAATTGTAGGGAATATTTTTGTGGGTCATCATAAATTGCATTAAATGACCTTTATTACCTGTATAAAAAAAGAAAGGGAAAAAGAGAAAGACAAAAAGATAGTAATAACTGTAATTGTAATTTTCGAGAGCGAAAAAAACAGAACCATTTTTCATCATTGATATCATATATCCTAATTATTGCACCTAAAATATAATAATTAGGATATATAATATGGATGATGAAAAGGTTATATATGACTTTTTCTGAACGATTGAAATGAACTTTTTCTTTTCTATTATAGTATGAAAATTAATAATTTCAATTATATCTATAGTTATATTATAAAAATATCATACTATAGTTATATCTATATTTCATACTATAATCGTAACTATATAGTTATAGATATAATTTTCTCCTATAGAATTATTCCATTTTTATATATCAGCAATTGAAACTTTATAAAAAAATATCATACTGCTTTTTTACTTTTTCCACTTTTTTTTGAATTCATCAAAATTGATTAATGAAATTAATTTTCTAGAAATAAAACAATTTAATTTCTTTTTTAATTTTAATTTCTTTTTAATTACTTTTAAGTTTAATTTTTCATTAATTTTTTAGGCAAAAAAAAGGTATTTTTTCATTATGAATACTTATCCACATATAATTTAGCTTTCAAAGTTTCTTTTTGATTGAAACTTTTAGATTTAGAATTATAAATTTGGTTTAGAATTTGATTTAGAATTTGATTTAGAATTACAAATTTGATTTAGAATTTGATTTAGGATTATAAATTTGATTTAGAATTATAAATTTGATTTAGAATTATAAATTTGATTTAGAATTATAAATAATCTAAAATCATTCACATAAATATGAATTTGTTAGTTAAAAAAAATTTTTGATTGAAAATTATTTATATTGTGATATTTGAATGGATTTAACAATTCTTAAAAAGTTCACAGTTTAATTTCTTCATTGAATTTAATATTACAATGAATAAATGAAATAATAAAATGTTGAAATGGTTTAATTTGTCATACATCAATCAAAACGAGACATCATCATGTCGAAGATTACACTTGTGTAGCTGCAACAATCACATTATTATCATTACTTACACATTTCAGGATTTAATTCAAACTATCATGATAAGATCAAGATTCATTAAGATGTATTTTTCTTTCTCATTGTAGTAGTAAATCATAATACCATCAGTTCATTATTTTATAAATAAATTTTTTCAATTATTATATTTCTTTCTAAATTCAATCTTATCCTACTTAATCAATATGATATGCATATCAATATGAGATTCTCAATATGATAGAGTCTTATTAATATGATATTCATATCAATATGAGATTCTCAATATGATAGGAGCCTTATCAGTGTGATATTCATATTTTTGTCTGGGCTTTTCTTGATAGCTTCAATAAATTATCATAAAACTATACATACAACATTCTTACTACTATCTTTTTCATCTACTACAAATGATATGAAGCCATATTTTTCCTATCTCATAAGTTTATATTTTCTAGAGAATTCTTTATTTGAAGAAATATTTCATATATTTTTTTAAAATTAACCTTTTGTTGAATCTTTCTTTCTTTCATAGTTTAACAAATATTTATTTCAATAATTGGTATTATTACTATGAAAGTTTTAAAAAATTATAAATTGTATAATCAAAATTTGAATATTTGGAAAAGAAAATTAAACATTCATAAAATTACCGAAAATTTCAATTTATTGACAAATTGTTTCAATACACTGATAGTATAATTAATATCTTCAATATTTGATATTCCTTCAATCGAAACACCGAATAATTCTAACATCTGCTTAACTGACTCTAACGATTTGATAGCTCGTTCCAAATTTCGAAGACACTTAATTAGTTTCATTATTTTAATCATAAATTATAATAGTTCAAAAGAATATATATATATATATATATTCAGATATACTTCCAAATGTTTAAAATATTCAATTTATATTCTCCGAATATTCACTAATTAAGAATTTCTAATTACTTCCAATTTTTATGCAAATTTCTGATTAAAAAAAAGCTTGTTTTAAAATTAAAATAGATAATTAGACCAGGTAATAATTTTCAGTAATTTCAACCACGCCATAATAATCAGAAATTTTTGCAATAGGACTATTATTTTGCATATTTTTTGCTGTCTTTGTTGTATTACCGATACTTTCACTCTTTGAGATATGCTAAAAATTTGCAAATAAATGTAATGAATGAAATTATTTAAATTTAGTTTAATAAATTTTAGTTATCAATCTTAATTATCAATTAATACGCGATATATGAATAATTAATCTTAGTTATCAATTAATACCCAATATATAATTAATTATTATTATTTATCAATTAATTAATATCCAATGCGTAATTATGATGATATCAAATATATGGCTAATCAACCGATTTATTAGTAGCCGGAATTGATCGATAACAATAATTCCTTTGCAATATTCCAATAATTTCATCCAATTTTTGCTCCATTTTTGGAATCGATGATAAACGATTGGTTAATTTAAAAAGATGTCGTTCCATTTGTCGCAATCCTTTATCAATCTTATATGAACTTTTACTCTCTGTTAACCTATTAAAATTATATAATATCCTTTTTTCTTTGTTTTTTAATTTAACATTTCAGATTTTCATTATTCAACGCTATTTTATCATTCTAAAATTCATACTCTATTCCGTTTGTGAAATAATTAATTGAGAATTCTAATTAATTAAATCAAGCCAAGAAATCATTTCAAACATTTTATGTATAAATTCAATTTATCAATTCAGTGATAAAGATGATTACAATAAATAGAAAAGAAATGAAACCTACTTATTGCAAGATTTATTTGATGAATGTATATCATTTTCCCATTTTACATTTTCATTTTTTAATCGTTCTTGCCAATCTCGATTCAGATCATCCACTCGATTATTCATCTATAATATTTTACATTAAATTAATCGATCAATTTCGAATGATATTTCCTTTTTCTTTTGTCTTTCAATCATTTCATATGTTTTAATTATTAATTAATTTCAATTATTAATTAACATAAATTCATCTATCATTTATGAAATATTATTCAATTTATCATTTTGGGATGGAAGAAAAGTAAAAATAGATGCCTCAATTATAATTTTATTTGTTGCATTGTTAATTTTTTGTAAAATATTCTCCAAATCCGTAATTTTCTTCGACATTAAATGTCTTTCCATTAATTTGTCCTTTAATGAAAAGAAGGGAATTATTTCAGGTTTGAAAAAGAATTTCTTAAAATTAGAATAAATTTGGAATAGCAAGGAAGAAATGAAAATTGGAAATATTTCATTTTTTTGAAAGAATTTTTCTCTCAAAATTATTTAAACTTAAATTTTTCCGGCTTTATTGTTTCTCATTTTTGTGGTAAATTGTTGTTTATTAATTAATAAACCTTTAAAGCATTAATAATTTGTCTCACTTCTTCCATCTTTGCCTTCTTTAATTCAACATCATCCTAAAATATTTAAATTAATTTTGAATTTCAATCAAAGAAAGATGAAAAATTTTGCTATTTGTTTTATTCGAAATATTTTAATGATATTAACATCAAAAACTATCAAATGATCATAAAAGTGCTGTTGTTCTCAATGAAAATATTACAACTGAACTGTTTGTAGAGTAGTTCACTGCGTTTAATTACTCAAAATTCGGGTCATGATATTTGTATCAACAAGGAACAAATTTATTTAATCAATCTATTTTAGCAATTAAAAAGGGAAGAGATGAGAATGTGAAAGGGATGGATTTATCTAACCGATCCGACTAATGAGTACAGATGGTTGAATGAAATGAATTGATCCAAATGCTATTTCAAATTGATGAATGGATGCATTTAACCCTTTCAGTTATCGCGCCCCGATAATTATCGGAATATTTCGTGGAATTTCCCATTAAATCACTGTTGCTTGCTTGCTTCTTCAACATATCTCTTTCTTTCATTCCACTTTTTTCAAGAAGCAATAATAAACTTTCTTTTATGCTCGATGTAATACTATTACAAAGTCCATAAACCACCCTATTAATTGGAAGGAAACAATTGACTGATCACATTTACACTTTTTCTGATCCCTTTTATATTAAGTTTAATGAATATGCAAAAAAATGCTACCGCGTGATATTTCATGTCATGCTAGGTAATATTACATTCGTCTAGCATACTGCTCCACGACAATCTTTACATTATGCTCCTCACAGACCTAGCGGACGGAGTAAAGTTATATCGTAGAATAACACCATCAATGTAGCATACTCCATTTATGCTTGGACGGAAAAGTAGTCAGACAATTGGTGAGTGAGTTGTTTGTGGTACCAAATATTACATTTGAATGTCACCTGTGTGCGCTGACACTTCTTCGGTTTGCTTCGCTTACGTTCCTATTGAAGATTTGTGATGTAATTTTGTTTTGCACTAGCAATATATTATTTTATGTGAGTAGAATTGGGGAAGAGAGTTTGAATGTAAAACAAATGTTGAATTCTTGCAGTCGTGATCGAATGTAAAATAAATCGAAATTCGTGTGCAGATGTCAAAAATGAAATGAGCATAAGTTTTTTAAATAATGCTAGATGTGAGACGATATGAAATATCGATCGTTAAATGGAGTTAAATTTGAAATAAACATTAAAATTTATTATTTTTCAGATTCTCGTATGAATGCACGCAATCATCAGTTCCAGTTAGTAAGTTCTCGTTTTTTTCATTGCTTTTTTTTCTACTTTACATGTCATGGAAAAGTTTTCTTTCATTTCTAAACATATATATATATCACGAATTTGTTTATCAAATTTACTTTATTTAATCTTTTAGACTGTTGATGAACATCAGGTACGAGATGCAATCTCAACCATCTTCCACACCATTCTTTTGCACAGAAGCGTGCCTAAAGTAATTTTTCGTTTTCTTTGAAAATGCCTATAAACCCTCTCTCCTGACCTGAGTATTAAATGCCATTGATCGAAAATGATAGGCCAAAGATGCATCAACTTTCTTCTTTATATCATCCATAAAAGCGGTGGTGCTTGTTCTAAGTAAAATAACTTTGGTAAGGAATTTTTCTGATTTTCAAAAAAGGTACAAATTGGAAAATTTATCCTGTTCAGCGATTTACTTTTTTTGCAGATGCATTATACTAGCGAAATAAACTTTCAACTCGGGTCTATTGGTGTTGAGGAAGTGGAATGTAGCACTTTGAATTTAAGCTATGCAAGTTTTTTTTCATTTTTTTTGATTGTTTCAGTATATTTAAAAGCAGATTTATGTATTTATTAGGCATAAACTACTTACGATGGCAGTGTTAATGCGTGTTGAAGAACCGCATCATATGACTATTGTTTGATGCTCCATCTTCCTATATATCCTCAATTAAGCGAAAAAAATTGTTTAATCCATGTCAGAGTTAACGATTGAAACGTTTAGGTACGTGTAAATAGTCCAAAACTGGTTTCATGCTTGCATGAGGAAATTGATTCTTTTGTGCAATGCATTCGGCATTCCATTGAAAGTGTTACTGCACCTCGTTTCTATTCGCCACCACCAGTATCATTGCTCACTCACTATGGAACTCCACTTTTGAACGCGAAGTTGGATTTAGTTTTTGTTCTCAAAGTTAAACTATTTGTAAATATTTTTTGGTTCATTCTCTTCACCGAAAGGTGATGCGTGAAATCTGTGTTGAATTTCTTATTTGAAATATGAAATATGCACCTTCAGAGCTTTAAATACAGACGTTATGGCTTATGAGAGCACTAGTAGTTTAAGACGATAAGACGAAAATATAAAGTTGTCATTTTGCACGACATTGCTAGAAAATTAGTCTTTAAATTTCTATTGATGATTTTCTCATGACATTATAACTTATTTTAGAATCGATTTGGAATTTTATCAGAAAAAGAAACGGTCATGGCCACTATCAGATTATGAAATCCCATGGGAAATTTGGCAGATGCAGCTTGGGGTGGTTAGAATCAAAGAACGGGGTGATCGCCTTTTTTCTGTATTACTAGTAATCTTAGATTTAAATTACATTTTATATTAAAATCTTAATATTAAAGTCTCTGGATAAATTCGAAATATTTTAAGAAAACCATATGAGGCCATAGCCGAGCGTTGAATTACATTTTCCCACTTTTTTATATGAAATATAAGTTTTAGGATATCCCAGTTCTTTCACCTTTTTGGTGAATGACATTGCGTGGTGGTGGCACTTCTTTTGTTCCAAATTCCAATAAAATTTTTTTGTATTTCTTCATACTTAAAACAGTTTTTTTCAGAATATTGGGAACGAATGCGTGAAGAGGTGGCGGATTCGGTATCAGAGATTGTGCTGAAAACATGTTCACTGATTAGTCGACCTCAGTACATGCCACAAATGCCTGCACGTTCGGAAGTGACGAGTATTTTTGATACGAGTTTTCTCGAATGTCAACCGTATCTTTTCAGAGTAGTCAAACATCCATTTGATTCGGGTATGCAATCATTTTCGTTACCCTAATTGTTAAGCATAGCCGTAAATTTTTCGTGTTCTTTTATTTTAAATATGGAAACCACTCGTACTAAGTACCCTGATAGTTTTCATTGGTGGTGCAGTTTGAATTGCTTTAATGACTATTAATTATAGGTCAGAATACGGAAAGCACTTTAATGATGATTGGTGCATCTGCGGTCAAGAAAATGTTGAGAGATACGTTCTTGTCGTAAGTCTTGTTGGAAAGGTTATACGATTCGATAATATTTCATAGTCCACAATTTATGTAAATAATCTTTCGTTGTTCTGGTGTTGTACATTAACTTTGCTAGACATTTTTTTCGTAACTTTTAGTATTCATTGTAAATAACTGCTCTTTGTTCGGGGTTTAAAAGCTGCTAGCTTTGTTTTTTTTATCTCGACATGTACATGTTTTTCTTATTTTTTTATTTAATGAACATGAATTCACTTTATTGTAACTTGGCAAGGCAAACTCTAGTTAATTGCTAAGACTTCTCTACTTTCTCGGTGAGCTCTAGTCTATAATGAGTAGGTGGTAATCCTTACTTGTTCTGGGATTAATGTACAGATTAGAGCTGTGCTCAAGTATCTGCGCTTGACAATTTTGATGGATCTTTGAGCATGAACTCATGAACATTTTATGCTATGTGCTTTAGCTTGGTTCACTGGTTTTTCTAAATAGTACGCTTGGTCTTTCTTTTGGTAATCATCTTTGTAAATATCCTTTTTTTACGGATACTCTTTTTCATAGAATGAAATTTCCTTGTAAAATGAAACTTCTTTTCACTCTTAATTTCGCTATATAAATGAAATTCTGTAAAGTAAGGACTGTCAGTCATCCCTTTTTGAGCCTTTTCTGTGCTAAGTAGTTCTTTAACTGAAAAAAGAAAAAGCCTGTTCATGGTGTACCTATTGTATTTTTGTACATAACTAAAGACTATATGTTGTGTATTCAATTTTACTTCGGCCAGCAATCCTAATAAATCAATCGTTAGTCCATATAGATGTACGCACATATATATATATACATATATATGTGTTTAACAACGTATCTCACTTACCTCGTAACATTTAGTATATGTTAAATAGGATATTTGCTTTTTCATTTTGTCTACTGTCGTGTTTTTTTGTAAATAAATGTGAGATTTTTATTTTTCAAAATATCAATTTTGTATTCAGTCGTTTTGGTTGTTTTTCTTGCTGCTATATCTATAGAATACATTATATTATATATTGTGGTTTGGCTGTTCATATATTCTCAAACAGTTCAAAATTACCAAGTTTGTGCTATTACAGTATTATGCTAACAGACAAATTTTATGTTCTTTATGGAGTTATGGATTTGGAACAAATTTCGCAGACATAGATTCTCGGATAGTTTTAAAAAATTAAGGAACTGCAAAATAGCAGACAGATAGAAAGAAGAGTGAACGATAGTTGAGTAGTACTAAGTAATGTCTAACGGATAAGCTTGAGATGGAGATTAGGTTTCTGTGGGATTTGAGATTACGCGAACGCTCGAGCTGATGATTGGATCTGAATATGAGAAATATCGGAAAATCGATCCGTATTTAAAGGAACTTTATATTATTGGACGATTTGTAATTTTACAGCGTTATGGATGATGATATAGCTGAATCATACGGTTGTATGACGGCCGATTGGCTGAGCGAACAACTGGCAGATTTTATGTATACATTTGAAAATGATTCTGATGGAGAGTTTATTGCTAAAGGTTTATTTGTTTTCTAGCATTTTGCTATGACATATAAGTTATACTAAAATGACTGACCAACCTTTAATGAATTGAATTGGGAAATTCAGTTTCTTTATGTCGAAAACTTACTAATATATATATGACATCACAAGATTCTGGTTTTAAGAAAAGTGTTTGCAGATTAATGAGCAGATGATAAAGTGCTAGGAGGTAAACTTTGCAAAGAACTTGCCTAAATTGAAAACTTAAGTTTCTAGACATTGATAAAGCATGCTTTATAATTTATTGAGGCCAATATTTTTATTTGAAGCAAATAATCTCTCCAAACAGTATTGCCAAAAAGGTGAAGATTTCGTCAGTGAATTGATTGCATTTGCAACAAATCAGAATCAAACACACGTGAATCTTTCAATGTTGGATAGTTTCGAGCAATTGGTAATGATCGTAAATTTTGGTTCTTCATGAATTTTTAATGGACATAATAAGTATAATTTTAAGAGAATAAAGTATGGATGAAGAGTACTAATAAAGACAAGAATTTTTATTCGGAAGTTTTGAAGCTCTATTCTTATTCTGGTAGTTCAAAAAATTTTATGATTAATTTTTTATTTTTTGTAATCATTTGCAGATTTTTTGTTTATAGGTTCTTAATAGAGCTATCCAAAATTGCAAGAATGAGTCATTCAATATCTCTCATACGAAGTGATTTTTATTCACTACTTTTTAATAATAATAAGCTTATAAACAATGTGCTACAATACACTTCTCTATGCACTGTAATAATTCAGTTCGGATAATGAAATATTATCTATTCGCATAAAGCAGCCAATAAAAGAGCTAGTATTATTCGATTGATTTTCATCTTACATAATTTCAGAATCTCATTTAATGAATGCAATAAGAATTCATGGCTTGATGAGAATAGTATAGCTGACAGTACAATTATAGATTTTTCAACCGAAAATTTTACTTTGCCCGAGAAGTATTTGGCTTTCACGCCAATCAGGTTGCAATATTATTCTCTCATTTGATTTTCTGATTAAATTCATCCATTAACTGGATTTTTATAAGTAATATTTAGTGAATTTAAAATCACCAGATTGTTTATTCTCATTAATTATTCATTTCAGAAAGTCCACATCTGATGTCGCATATCAGAATCGCAAAGACTCGGGCAAACTTATCGTGAAATTCACAGGAAAAAATTTCACTGCAAAAAGAAATAATGAAACCAAAGGCAGCAATATATGCAAAGTCACTGTGGAAAAACTGTATGCTGATGATTACAAAAATTTGTTACAATATGGTGCCGAAAAAGATTTGGAACAGGTTGAAGGTGAGAAAAGGAAAGAGAATAATCTCTGATTATTTTTTAGTATAACATGATTTACATAAGTTAATCGGGTGGAATATTATCATGTTAACAGTGAATATGGTCTGATGCATGACCATTTTTCTAACAACATTCCAAGCGTTATAATTGAAGCTTCATAATTTTCATAATTTATAGTAAGTCATAGAATGTAATGAAATTATGTTTATTATGCTTACTGAGTCACGAAAGTTCACACTAAATTTTAAATGGTAGAACTCAAAATCATTTTTGATCGAAAACAAATGTAATCTAACCTGAACAAATCTGCGTTGAAGTTTGTATATGATCCTAAAAATACTATTGGTTAAATTATTAACTCGAGGAGGTACATAATTACAAATAAAATAAGCTACTTAACTACTTTCCCATATACTTTGCTTTGGGAGAAAAGAATCTGTGATTTTTTGTGGACTTTGCTGTTAGCACATATAATTAATGCTTGTGTTAAGTACGTTAATCTAATTCAAGCATTCATTTCACGAGTTCGGAATTTATGCGATATAATCAAGGAAGAAAATGAAACACTAGCTGAAGAAGAACAAATGGATTCATTATTGCTGGTATGTTTTTTTCTCCTCTGAATTTAAATCGTTTTAACATAAACGCATAATTTTACGTTTGACTTGTCATTTCCAAGGTTTCCGCTCCATTAGAATGTTGATTTTAGGCGAAATTTAATCTTTTTATTTGAAGAATTCTTCTTAATAATAGATTCCAACTTTTAGTGCATTATAACTCGTAATGTAAAAATTTTCGTGAAGAAGCGTTGAAAAAATTTGTTTTCCAGATAAGAAATTTATGTGCTGGGTTCATCGTGAATGATACGGAAGATCCATTAGATGTCTCAAATTGTTCATTGCAATGCGTTGATCAGAATGCTGGTATTGTAAATCTCGATTTGAGCAATCTTAAGACTTATTCATTGTTCCCAGGAAAGGTAGTTAACATCTATTGTTGTCATTTGATCTGTTTTATTCATCCTACATTTACAATGCATTACCGCTGGAAAGTTTGGCAATAACTAAGACACGTAAATAAACATATATTGTTCTCATTATAATAAGCATTAATTAGATTAGAAGTGGTTGATTAGGAATATCACAACCTTTATAAATTTATTTCAATTTATTTCAAGCGTTCATACTGCTCGTATTCACTTGTTAGTAGTTTGCTCCTGTTTAGATTGTTGCACTTCGTGGATCTTTTGCTGGTGATACATTTGTGCCATATGAAATTTTCGAACCTAAGGAACCATCTATTGCACCTCTTAAAAAACAACCAAACATTGGTGTGATTTTGCTACTTGTTGTTAAAACAGTTCTGCCTCAGTAATTAGTGACCAACTGCAATCGTCGAATTATGGATTTATTATTCTATTTATGAAAACATAAAATGTTTGTAAGTACTCAAGTAAATAGTGGGTTTGCGAAACGCACTTGTGCGAGGTTAATACATTTGGGAATGTAATTGAAGATGGTAATCCGTTTTCAGCAGTGTGTATTAAGTAAAAAAAATGCATCGCAGAGAAGATAATAAATTAGGAATGAAAGTATGGCTTTTTCAGACCTGCTTCATGTTTGGTGTGCCTGTGGTCCGTTTTCTTCTTCCAAAACTCTCTCTTATGAACAGCTGTGCGATTTAATCGAATTAGTGAGGAAGGAGCGACCTGATATTCTAATTTTGGTACGTGTTAAACACTTTTCCGTTATTTGGATACTACTTTGTTCCTTTGAGAATTATAAAACTTCAGATTGGGCCATTCATTGATCGAACGAGTCCAATAGTGAAGTCACCTCAATGTTGCTACACCTACGTCGATCTTATGGACATGCTTCTTACAAAAATTGATGACGCTTTATCAGGGTTTGTTGTTACGAAAGCATAAGTTGTTGTGCAACAATCCGCCTCTAAGTCACGAATCAATTATTAATTTTCAGGACTGATGTTCAAGTGCTAATAGTTCCAAATGGAAGAAAAGATGCTGCACTTCGACCATCATTCCCTACTCCACCATTTCGTTCATTTAAGCAACGAAAGGAGCAATTAAGCAAAGTTATCCTTTCACTTCGACACATCAACCAATTTCTTTACTTTTATATAATTCTCATGTAGAATCTTTCATTCACCATTCATTAATAATTGCTAACCAATCCTTAGTGTATGGTACTAATTTTTAGGCCTTCTTCAATATAACATCAGTACTTTACAGAATATAGTGCTTTTACCAGATCCTGCAACCGTTCGGATCGCCGGTATTGAATTTGCTATAACAGCATCGGAAATCATCCAGCACTTAGGAAAAGATGAAATAAGTCGTCTAGATAATTGTGAAGACCAGGACCGAATATCTCGACTTGTCCGAGATTTATTCAGGTATTAGCGCTTACATTGTATAGTGGATCGTTGTGTTTTGTTGTATGAACATTATATTTGAATCGGAGTGTTTACTGATTTCTCCGAAACTATCGAAGTTTCTATCTTATATCGAAAACAAGTTTTTGTTTACGTATTCTAGCCGAATGTTCCTTACAGACAACGTTCATTATACCCGTTATATCCCGCAGCTTATGATGTTACATATCGACTTCGTGAAGCTGTCGAGCGCGCATCACTCTCTGTAATACCTCATATCATTATTTTGCCGTCAGTACTCGCGCCTACTATTAAGGTACTTTCTTCCCTAACAATAATCTAAATTAATTGCCTGGATAGTGTAACTCATCCTACTTCGCGCCGTTATGTCAAATTTAGATAAATCTGTTCTGATGGTTAAAAGGACTGTCTCTAAAGAGATTTATGATACAGGTAGTCGCCGACTCAGTATTCGTGAACACCAATGCACTAGTGCGTGGAAGTAGTGGTACATTCATGAAACTGAAAATTGACCTTAAAGAGACTGATGTGAAAAAGAATTTGCACACATCAGTTGCTGATTTTTGCGAAGTACAAATTGTTCGATTGTGAATATTACAGTGCCCAATACGTATGAAATCTTTGCAATGTCTCATTTTTTTAATGTCATGCTTCTAAAAGTTTTCAAGTATTGTGAATAAATGAATTTGAAATTATATGAATCAATTACTGCAGTATTTGAGATGATTTACAATTTGTTGCCAACAGCTCCTTCAATGATCGCCTAAATTTTGAAAGATCACATGAGAACAAAAATTCCTTTTGCTCTGGACATAAGTTAGCCCAGCAAATCTCCCTAGTACTACTAATCTACAAAACATATCAATTTTATCGAGTCCTGCTAAATGCTATCGAACAAATAATCATCAGTTAAACAAACAGCACTGTAATGTAAAACAGATGTTTTTGGTTCATAATTTTAAAAACGAAATTATTCTGAAATTCACAACATAAGTTGCAGATATAACGTCCAAAATATTGTAAATTTTTATTTGCGTCACTCTTCATAATGAATCAAGAAACCTGAGCATAAATTACAATCAGTAGCCTAATGTAACAAGCAACAACTTTTATCCGCTTCCATCACCGCTACTATGAGATCGATGCTTTCGTTTCTTCTTTTTTTTTCTCCTTGAAACCTTTCGTTCAGATGAGCTAGAACTTTTCCGAAATCTAAAATTTGACTTTTGAAGTAAAATCACTTGTGATTATCGTACGCCTCTATAAATCAATGGCACTAACATCATTTTATGAAAATTTTGCTTCCCAAACCACTAACTATTATTTTACATGTTACATTGAGAACCACGATTATATATATATATGGAAGTTTTCCATTGTACCACAGCACATGGAGTATTTCAACAGTGGAAACCCCTTCAGAAAATAGAGTCAAAGCATCATTTTAGAAATAGGAAATGAAATTTGCAAATGATCGCTTTCATTAATATCAAATAAAACCAGACTTCTTGTGACGTTTGCCTGATTTGCTGCTGTGTTCATCCACTAATCGACTGTCATTGTGCTTTCCTCCTCGTTTTTTCTTTTTTTCTTTTTTGTGATGATGGCTTCTTGAATGCTTAGAATCTTTCCTGCAAATTCATTATTCAACATATTAACAATAACCAACTTATGTGTGAAACATATCGAAAACCATATGCATCATATGGTTTAATGCCACAAAACTATCATCATATTTCAAGAGTAATTACACGAAGTAGTGAGTTCGAAGAAAGTTAGGATACCTGAATACAATATATAGTTAAAAAGCAGAATGGAAAAAATTGTTAATGCATTGTTCTGTTTGCCTAATAAAAATATGAACATCTAAATCGTAATGAAGCATTTTATTTACTTTTCTTTAAACGTTTCGTTGATCACTTTATCGATTCGCGAATTAATTAGTTGATCAATCGCGGAAGTTGAAAAGATTGCTTCTACATCACTCACATCGCCTTTATTTTTCAATTTTGTGGTAGTCGACGAAGTTGACTAAAAATACAAATTTTTGTTCTAACTTTGAAAAATATTTAGAAAAAAAACTTACTATAATCGCCATCATTAAAATTAATTAAAAAATATTCGTTTAGAAAAAACTTACACTAGCATGCGCTTCCTCGTACTTTTTTAGAAGTTCGCTTTCACGTTTCAGTTGTTCCTCATTTTGAGCTCTCAATTTTGCAGCCCGTTTCTCGTTCAGAATTTTCTCCATAAAAAGGCGAGCCTTAAAAGAAATCGAATGCATCCCGAGGTCTAATCGAATTTATTACTCGGATTTGCTCGGCTCACTCCGATATAAAAGATAAAAAAGTGAAATAACTGCGAAATTACTTTTAACTTTCGTTCTGATTGAAGTTCGGCTGAACCTTCTACCGCAAGTTGCCCGGATGACAGAGGAACTGGAGCAACTGGAGGTGGCGGTATTGTCAAACCTGGCGGAGGAATCTACAAAAACATCAGCTCTTAAAAACTTACATATGCCAATAATCAGTTTATAAAGAATTCCACTCAGTAAATTTAATAAAAATGATATTTAATTTTTTACTCGTTTCGAAACATTTCAATAAAGCCATTAAATTAATCTTGAATAATTTTCAAAATTACATTATTAAGAACACCAGGAGGAACATCGACCGCTTCTGCTCCACCATTCTCATCATCATATGCCCCAAGTTTAACCGCGCTGTAAGTAAACCACTATTAAAATATTTAGAACTTCCGAAAACAACACATGATCAAGGTACTAACATTTTACAATACTTCTGGTATGCAACATTTTATAACACTTCTGGTGTTGCATATTGCCGGGAAAAACTGCATAAAATTAATGAATTTGTTACAAGAAGACAGCCCTCATCTCTCATAATCATAATCCTATTTTCCGATCGTTTTCCATAAGCTTCACAATTTTGAATTTTTTTCGCTTGCAATAATGCTAGCAAAGAACTTCTTAACTGTTTCGCAAATGTTCGGGTCGGCTGAGTTCATATTCTTTTTTAATCATTGGGCTACTTCATGATGATACGAACTGGAATTCTCAAAGCGAAAGTGACGCGCTCGTTGTCAACAAACTACCATGCTTACAATTAGAGCATGTTTCCTTTAAATATGTTAACGTTTCTGTATTTCTGAGTATTACTTACCTTGCTATTTTCGTGACTTTTCTGTCATCTGTTTTTTGAATATTTAAAGAGAAAGATATTGGACCCGTTGTTGTTTTTCTCAATGACGTGCTTGAACTTTCTTCTTGTTCCTCAACATTATCCAGAAGTGCTGGCAGCGATTGCACTTTGTTTAACTGTAACAACTATTGTTCGATGTATGGAAGGAAAATTTTCGAAAAGACTGAATATGCAGCAATTTTCAAATTTTCTTGAAGCAAAGAAAGAATATGAGAAACCCTTTGTATACTTCATATTTTTAAAGAATACTGGCTTTCATTCTCCTTCTAGTAATTAGCAAAGTTACAGCATTTACAAGATGATACTAAATATCAACCGTACACGATCCGGAAAATCACAAAGAAAGAATTGATATAAGAGAAAAATTCAACTAAATGATGATAACTAATAGTCCCCTACTTGGTCATCAAAGTCAATTACTCCAACTTCAGCAACATTTTGCACGGCTGGCTCAGGTGTACGTGGTGGATCATGGAAACCTCGACGACGCATTTTTCGATTCATGAAAGGTGGTGGTGGAGGAGGTGCTTGCAATAAATCAGAAAATAGTTTGCTTGTTTGTTCATTGACATCACTCTCAGTTTTGCAGGACTGTTCCACATCACACCCTCCTAAAACAGTTGTATTTTGACCGTAAATCTCTGTCAGTAATTTTAATTCCAGTGGAAAATCGCTAAAAAGAAATTTTGTCGAGTGCTTACTCAAAACATCCATCTCCTGCTTCGCTGTGTTCCAATCTTCTGTTTCTTCATCTCCCTTCATCTACAAATGAAACTTCAAATTATTTTAACATGCCAGGAAATATTGCCTTAAAATATTCGGAAGAATAAAATCATCCGAAGCATTCACAAGATACAAAAACATTGGTAATCTTGCTTACTACTATGAAGTACATCTTACCTTTTGAGATTGCATGTAAGAAGCATGTAATTTTTGGTAATACCGAATGCGCGAATGATAGTAGCCATAATAAGGACCGTCAGCACACAAAAACCCAATATTAAGATCATGCCGCCCTGGAAAACATCTTTGAACACCTCCTTCCAAAATTTGAAATGATTAGAGTGAGGTATTTATGAACCACAAACTTTACCCAATAGGATTTGTTCAGCCTGGATTCCGTATCTAGCAACATATTCAGCAGCACTATTGACGGTAGGCATAATGTCGGGTGGCGGCGGTATTACATTCGGCTGTTCATTGCTTGGTGGTGGTTCTCCATAGAAACTGAGATACCACTCATAGTAATCGCCTTTATCCAAGTCTTTTGTTTTTTCCGTAGCACTATAATATTACAGAGTTTCATCAAAAAAAAAGAAAAAAAGAATTTGTTGCGAGAACACTCTATAATAGTTTGTGGACAGTCAACTGAAGCAGTTGTGGAACAGTTTGTTCACTGCAATTTCTGACTTTTTAAGTGAAAGAAACAATGCTTACTCATCCTTGCTTTCAGTAGTCTGTAATGCTTTTGGTTGTGGGGCTACTAAATCAGACAGATTCTTGAAGAGCGAAGAATACATGTCATCAGCCTGAAATAGATAACCACATATTGAAAATGAAAGAATTCTATACTAAAACGAATATGTCTGATTCTCACATCCAAGATTTTGGAAAACAAGTTTGAAAAAAAATTACAAACGTATCTCAAGCAAACAAAAAAAACCTGTCAACTTCACGGATAAAATGAATCGTTTAATAACCTTTCCCAATTTGTAGTCAGTTCTAATTTGTAACTGTTTCTTGGTCGCAACATCATTTTCTTCCTTGGTCTTCGGACCAATTACTGGCGAACTACTGCCAGAATCAGTTTTCCGTACTCCTCCCATCAGCAAGGGATGAAGATAATTTCCATTGGCGTCAGATCCCGAATCACTATCAGAATTAGAACCTATAACAAATAAACAAATGAGCTATAATAAATAAACTAAAGAAGCTAATGCCAAACTAAATCGTGTAGAAAAAACAAAAAAAAATTAGATGTTTTCAGTTATCAAATTTAAGAAATCACGAACTATTTTCCGAATCAAATAAAAGTTACTCATATCTATATCTGTTTTTTGCTTTTGCTGCTCCTCTTTTAATCGCTTTTCTTCTTCCAAACGTCTTAGTTTTTTCAGCTTCGGACGGCGCTTTGAAATATGCGGTTTTGGTGCATACTTCTTTTCTCGTATTAGTTTTGAGATGTATTTGTAATAGGCATTCAAAGGATGATCAAATTCCAGAAAACCAAACTAAAAAAAATAATCATTCAGCTTGCATTAGGTCAGCCTATCCAACGACATATATTTAAACCAGCGAATGATGTAGCAGTAAGGACCTGATCCTGATTCCCGCGTTGTTTTGCTTTGATGACTATTTCCATCTGCGGACCTTGCGCAACGACAAATGTTGCTGTACGCTCTATTACAGCATTTTGCTTCATTGTGTCTGGCTAAATAAAAAATGGAATAATTTAAAGGACCAATATATTTATTATTCCTATAACATTTTGCGCAACTAACATGCAAAGAAGAAAGCACAAAAATCTGTGAATCATTCTCAGGACAAAATAAGGAAGTTTTGATGTGAAAAAACGTAATTCGTAATTCATTACTTCTTTGAATAACTTTTTTGATGCTTAGAACAATGATGATATCAATCACACATACCAAATTCATGCCCAATGGAAGTTTGATATTTTCTGGAGGTTGGAATGGTTCGTCAATTTCTTCTTCACTACTGCTACTTGCTTCTTTACAATTTTCATCATAATTAAACGCAATTTCGGTACGCTTTTGTTTCTCCTCTTCTTCTTCTGCAAACAAAGGAGTCTTATAATTTATTCATCTCTTATAATTCTCTTATAATTTATTCATCGGTAAGGCAAAATTAATTTTGAAAAAAACGAAGCACAGCATTTCAAATGTGAACTGAATGGGATCGATTATTGTAACAGTTCATAGCCGCATTTTTTATATACCATCAATTTTTAGTCTACCTAAGAGCTAACTTAAATGAGCTCATATTGCGGCTCATTTCATTTAATCTTACTTTCAAGTCTTATGATATCTTCGTGCATATCTTTATATCGCTCCTCTTCGCACATTTCTTCTTCAAGTAATTCTGCAGGGCAGTCATATCCAATCCCAATTTGATTGTTTTCTCCACTAATACAAGCAATTTCCAACGCTTCTGCACTTGTAAAATGTAAGCGACAGTCATACCTGGAAATAATTTTTACATGACAGTGTACGATGATGGATGAATACAATGTGAAGACATAGAAACTAAGTTTCAAAGACATTTCAAAGCTTATGAACTTAGTTCCTATATCTCCCATGGTATTTCTTTTCGAAGCCAAGCCAGATCGGGCCTCTAACAACATCAAAACGATTCATCTCACAATTATAGTGCACTTACGAAAAGTACATACCACCATCCTGCCCAAACTATTGGGCGTGTATAACGCTCCATCCATATCTGAAATGTTGGAAAAACATTATTCGATATTTATCAATTAAACTTTTATGCTAAAAAGACAAAAATTGTTAAGATACTACAAGAAAGCAATCGCTTACCTTTCAAAATGCTGTTGTTTTGGCATCTTTTTTTTCGCATTATTCCTTCCGAAATTTATTCATCCGTCCAAATTTTAAATACTTTACTGTATGATTAAGTAATTTTTCACACGATTTATAAAGCTAAAAAGGCATCCCAACTATGAATGATATTCTTTTTCCATGACAAAAAGTTCATTCTTATTCTGTACCCGGAAGAAATAAATGTAGTAGTAATATGGCGCTAAGGTTCTAAATGTAACATGGAACTGCCATTACCAGATAAATCAGATTTCAGTGATCTTTTCCAAAAATAAAAATACGAATTACGGTCAGAGTAGAGAAGCACTTTTTAACTCTTAATGAACTATTATTCAATACTCGAAAAGAATGCTAATCAAACTTTTTTTCCAAACTGAAACCAACAGTACGCCAAACCGATATAATCATTTGCATTACTTTACTTTATTTAATTCATAACATTTCTCGACGGGTATTGTGAATTGATACACGAGACTACATGAAAAGAAGCGCGATAGCAATTCTTGTATTTCATCACTTAATGGTCCCACTGATTAAGTGTCAATGATTCACACTGCCTGGCCACGATAGCAATCACGATGAAAAAACAAGTTCATTTCAAAAAATTAAATGAAACCTACCGATAGTTATTGCTGGTTTACACCATCAATTTTGAGTTGCGTGCATCACACATCTTCCAGCAATCTGTTTCGAAAGAAGTATGCAACAAAAAATCAATTACTGAGTTAACGCTTTCCATTAACTCACCTATCAATCAGTAACTGTGAATCTGCCGGATGTGATATCAGATGCCGTTCTTCTGCAACCCACTCCGCGTGGTCATCGTTTGAATATATTCGTGATGCATAGCCAAATACAAGCAATTTATCCTAAGAGAAAACAAATTATTTGGTTTCCTTTACACCCTTCGTTCTTGGTATCTAGTTTCTTCTCTTCTCCATCGTCTTGGTGGCTATCTCTTCACTTGCTTGAAAAAATCCCGATCTACTAGATATTGGGTCAATATCTGAGTAGTAAGATTTCAAAACTCCGTTCAAAGCAATTGGCGGACTGTGAAAATGAAAAATTTAACGTCAATAACATATGAATTATTGTTTTCACATCCTATTCCAAAGATTACATTTTTATTCAAATTACCGAATGAGCTTAGGCTAAATAGAACGGATGACCATATACTACTTGATCATGCAATTGAAAAGGAAAACTGAGTACTTTGATAATTTGAAAAGCTAGGTTCAAAAACTAAATTCTTTTATTTAACGACAGGGACCTTTACAGACAAAAATCTTACTTGTATGTCGTCTGCTCCTCGCCGTTTAGCACCACGACAAAGCCTTATATTTTCTGCACTCATAGTGTAATCAACAGAGAGAGTTAAGCAACTGCATGAGAAGAGATGCTATGAACCATTTTGTAGCCAGTTCTCCTGTAATTAAAAAAAATGGGAACTCGTGACATAGCTATACATTAGCATAATAAGTGCATATGACATACAAGCAAACATATATCCCGCATCTTCCTTCCCCATTGTAGTTTGCAGATGTGCAAGTTAGTAACTTTGAGGTAGCTAGAAGCTCTCGGTTTCTTCGAAACAAAAACCAATTGAAGAATTTGTCCAGCTACGCTTCAAAAACTCATTTAGAGTTGCTTTAATTTAATGTTATAAAAAATACTCAATATAAAAATGATGATTGAAATGTTTGAAACATTTCAATATTTAAGCAATAAAGTATCTGAGCTTTTGCTTAGATTACAACGGCGTAGGTTACGAGGATGTAAGCACAAATCACATATATTTTATCAATATCATCAAGGTGAATATCGTTTATAAGTATATTTGGATTCCACCAAAGCATAATTCCTCTAAATTATCTGATATTCAACACAGTGTTAACGGTTCCATAAAATCTTGACAGAAAAAGTACTTAATAATAATCAATGGGAAACAGTGCATCTGGAAGTATATTGCAGAAATTGCGAAACCAATAACATGATAATTATCCCGTAACAATGAAGCTAATTCCCTTAAGTTCACTGAATTTCATAACGGGCAAATTCCATGAAATCGAAAATTAAAAGGAAAATAAATAATATGAAGTCCTAGAAGAAATCATATTGAAGGCATCTGAACTTCAGACAAAAATCTTCAGAATACAATATTTATGATAGTTTGATTGAAATCACAGCGAGACCAATAACTTCACAAATATTTTTTCTTCAAAGGCACAAAATTCTACCATAATCCTCAAATAACGCCCCTGTCAGCCAAGCTATCCAGTATCTTCAAAAAGCGATCTTGTTCTGAAAAAATATTTTTGACAAAATCAATTAAATCTGAGCAGAAACTACTTTTCAAATGGAAGAGAACAGTGCCTATAAACACCAAATTCATTTTTTTTTCTAAGGTTAACAACAAACAAATAAACCTTCTTCGGAAGCACAACCAATGCATTCTTTGGGATTATGTGAATGTTCGATGCCCAAAGCCATCTCAGTTTGATTTTCTAAAAAATCTGCTGCCTGTGTTGTCGGCGAAATTGCATGTTCATCACCCGACTCCACCAAGTTCATAGAAGTATTGCTTGTTTGCAAAGCTGAGTAATATCCATCATTATAACCTTGCTTATATGCTTTCTAAAAATTTTCATTACTTAAAAAATTTCTTGCAAAGTAATTTTTTCGAACAAAGACAAAATTTCAAATGTAACTGGATGCTTAAAGTACAAAATATAGAAAATCGATAACAGAACAACGAAATAAGCTGAGAAAATGACATACTGAAGTATACATGGCTAAATCAGCCGTATATTGGCCTGCATACCGTTTTACCGTTTCTTCTAATGAATTTATCCTTTGAACGAGCCTGCAATGTAATGTGAAGAATAAATATTCATCCACTATCTTGAAAATTTTCAAAAGAATTTGAGAGAACGTTGATAAAACAATGACAACCTGAAAATAAACTAATGATAACCTCTCACCTACAAGCATCCCATGCGTGCTCGTTCTGCATTTTAATGATTTCTGCGTATAACTTCTGTTCAATTTTATTTTCTTTTGTAAGAGTCGACAAATTATTTGATTCAAGGCTTGTAGATGCTTCATTGTTGCACCTCCTTTCATAATCCTGTTAGAGAATCAAAAAAGTCTATCATTTATTTACATTTCAAAGAAAATGAAATTTTTAACAATCTATAAACTGTTATAAATCAAAAAATGTTGCCGAATATATGAATTACCTTGTTAACTAATTCCAGCGCTCTAATGTTATCATTTTTAGATGCACAAACAGAGGTAATCGAATTATTGCATTCACTGGACAACGTGGTTTTTGCTGATATACCTATGCGTTGTAAAAAGCTCCTCGGTTTAACAAAAGGATTATTCATAGATTCTGCCTGACTGCTAGACAGAATATTGACCTGAATGAAACTAAATGCGATAATGCTAAATAAACAAAAATAGGATCAAAATCCTGGATGATGCAACTGATACAGTTGATAACAATTTTTTCCAAATATTGAAAAACTTTTATACCTCTCTTAATTCCGAGGACTCGTCCAAAATTGGGCCACTCTTAGAGCAACTGTTAGGAGCAGATAAATCCTGAGAGGAAAACCACTTTTTGGCATCATCAAGCATATCGTAATCCGAATCGTTTAAGGGTGGAAAAAACGAATCCCTTGTTGAGACACCCTGATTCGCACAATGAGCCCTATAGCAATAATAAGTGAAACAGAAGAAATGAGATAAAAAAAACAAGTGCAAATAAGCAATTTTAGCAAAATGGGCTCTCACGGCACTTAATAATATCACAGTAAAAGTTAAGTATTATGGTACCCATTGATGAGATTCATGAATGTGCGAGAATACAAATTGGCCCAGTTCTTTTTTGTGTCGCCCAGTGCACTGCCATTAGCAACAAGCCATTTACGGATATAGTCAACAATCCGCACATCAGGAATATCACCACGTAATCTGGACGCTTCCAAAGCTGCTATTATTAATCCATTTTCAGAGCACATCTGACTTGAACCTTGATTCCTTAAAAGTGAAGAAAGTTAATAGAAATATTAAAAATATTTATCGTTCAGTGCACTGCATATCGAGGTGGTAGCGGAAGAATATGTAGGATTAAGTAATGTGTGAGCCTACCTGAAAATACTGTGTCAACAGTAAACTGTTTTCCCCAATCGTTTTGGCTTTAATCCATCAGGCAATATTCTCGGTTTTTTTACGCATGGTTTACTTGAAGCTTACATGAATATCCATTTAGACATGCTTCAGTACTATCACTGCTTACTATTAATGCTATTATTGCTTGCTCAGGTAAGATTTCGTGAAGGCAAAAAAAATTATTAGATAAAGATACTTCCACGGGAAAAATGCATGTGGCAAAAAATATATGCAAAATAAATATATATGGCAAATATATGTGCCAAAAATGGAAAAAAAAATTACAAAAATAAATAAAAATATTGCAAACTTCTCACCGTACTTCCTTATTGATAAGAGACACCAGTAGATTCCAAAAATTAATTATCATATAACTAGGCTGTGCAAATGCTAATGGTGGTAAAATACTCAAACTGGGAGTACCATATTTCTGTCCATGAGATGCGCATAACTCTGACCACTTTGCTGCTCCTAACAATAGAACCTAAACGAATTGTTCAGTCAAAAAACATTTTTGTGTTGTTTTTTGCTATTATGTTATTGTTTTTTTATTGTTTTTTATTGTTATGTTATTGTTTTGTATTGTTTTTTTATTATTATGTTATTGTTTTTATATTGTTTTTTTATTATTATGTTATTGTTTTTGTGTTTGTTTTTTTGTTATAAAGCATTTAATCCTTCAATAGAACTACTATTATGACTTCAAAAGTATTAAATGCTTCTCAAATAAAGACTCATAAAACGTACTATTGCATCAATCCTACTAAGTGATGACAATGTAAATGATTGCAGATCATCATCGTCATTGGAAGTCTCGACAGGTATATTTTTCAGGAAAAGATTCAAGAACGAAGCTGAAACTGATGAGTAATTATAGTTCCATGACTTATAAACCAACTAACCGATACGAAATTTGCTATTCCAAATTATAGCATTAATAACGATGAAGATAAGGCAAAACATTCACTCACCATTATCACGTATATCACTGTTGTAAGCTAACAGCCATAACAAGTTAATCAAAAAATCGTTTTTATCCGCCAATATGATCAATCCTGAAAAATTAAGAAACTCAATAATTTAACAAACAAGACATTCGAGTTTTGCAAATATATACGAATATCCAAAAAAAAAGACTTAACATTATTACCTGAAAGAGTGCACCAGAGGATATCACATAAAATCCTATAAAATTCAAGTTGTAATATCATGAATATAAAAAGAATTTTAAAAGAATGATAAAAGCAATCCTCACTGCTGACTTTGTTCTGTTCTATAGCATGTGCTTCATGAGTGTTTGGCAACGAATTTATTGAAACCATAAATGATTTAGAACGCAATGTGGAAGTACCGTTACAAGCAGCATACAAACGTTCTCCGACCTGAAACGCACCTATGTAGATTCTCACACCACACCGACTTCAAATTCACAGCACACTCATTCTCATTTCTGTTGTACAGTTGTGCACAAAATTCCATGAAATGAAGTTTAATAATTCTAGGAACTGAATGAAGAAGATACCGGCTGTGTAGCGAAGTTGGATATTTTGATCCTATTGAAATGCTGAAGAAGTGTACGCAGTATGAACGCTTCAAGCACAAAGATAGCAGCAAGCAAAGGTGATACAGGTGATGCTTTGTGAAAAATATCGTAAGCGACTGAGTAACTGACAAATGCCAACTCTAAGTATATCTTATTTCCTTTTTCCTGAATCAAAAAATTTACAAAAAGAGGATCACAGGATCAAATGCTAAAACCACTGTAAAGTGAGATCAGCTCTTCTAGTCTAACCATATCTGCTTTGCTTTAAATAAACATAATCATTCAGGAAGTAAAAATAAGAAAGTAAAAATTGAATCAATAATATTACTGTATTGTGAAGGAGAAGGAATGTATCGCCGATATTTCGGAACAAAATGCCTTTCGCAAACGACTGAAAGTGGTCCAGAGATGGAGTGCGTGGAAGTTCCATTACTTCCCTAATTAAGGTATCTAACCTGCAACAAAACAATAAGTAAACACTAAATATATTCTCTCTATTTCCTTTTTCCGTTTCCGCTGTGCTACTAATATAAAATTTCTGTGGTTTTGAAGGAGGTACGGGAGCGAAGACACTACAATCACTCTAAATTCTTCTTTATGTGAGATAATGGAATGAAGCGCGGACTCACTCAAGTATATAGCTGAAAATCTTAGCAGTGTGCAAAGTCCCGACGTCGAACAAAAACTTTAACGAATGCTTGATTCGTCCATTCAATATCAAAACTAAAGTTTTGAAACGTCCTTCGCTTTCTGGTAAATTCTGTCCCTGGAAATGAAAAGTCAAAAGTGCGACAAACTTTTACCAATAGTATTTTGAGATATCTAGCTCTGACTCGATTTGCTGGCAAAAAGGTCCCACTGTATCTCATTTTTCTGAAATTCTAAATAAATAAATAAACATGCAAGCACTATTTTTGCAAAATATTTTTTCATACTGTATAATATTCCACTCTCAGAAATAATTACCTTCAACAACAAATACGCTCTATTCAGCCAAACCGTATCATTAAATAATGGACTTAGAATTTTCGTTGTCTCTTGTTCCATTTCTTGCATCAGTTTCACGTCACGTCTGAGCTGATTCTAAAATTTCATATATAACTTCATTAATCTTATTATTAATGCAAGTGATTATATATTTCTTAAAAAACTATAATTAATAACTTAATACTTAATATTTTTATCATCCTGTCGCCATCAATTAATCATCATCACCATTATCTCTATTAACTTTTTCAATCTAACAAATTTTTTAATAACTTTATAGAACGAAACTAACGGTTTTAGAAGCAGTGGACGTTTTCGTTGGCTGAAACATCGTACCAGCAGAATAATTCCTATTAAACAAATATTACGAACGATAAATATAATACAATTTAAACGACTACATGGTACCACAGATTATTAGCATCACGACTATAACTAATATGATGGAATTATCAATATGACGTTATTAAAAGTCAAGAAAATTTAACTTCCTGAACAAACTCATAACGCACTGCTAGAAGCATGCGGTCATTTTCTCTATTATGAGTGATATACCAATCAAAATGAATAAGAACCAAAAAAATTGAAAAAATTATGAATATAACGCACTTAAAAACACCATAGCGTCGTAGCAAGAACAATGGTAAGAGCAATGTGAACGAAAGGTTAAGTTTACTCTGTTATTCATTACTTGAAAGAATTTCCCCCACTACATTATAATGGAACAGTAGACTTTGTAAAAACAGTAAATTTTTAACTTAGAATAGTTTCAAAGATATAGTAGAAGAGTATCTATAATGTTGGAGAAAGCATCTATTAACTTCCATAGATTATCCCACAATCTTCTAATACGGAAATCAAAATGACAAACTCCAATCATACCTTTCCCCCTCCAACCACTCATCTCACTAATCGTATTTTGTTCGTTTATGGTTTGGTTGAGAAGGCAACTATGATGAAGTCATAGTGAAAATCATCGTCTCATTTCAGAATGAAATTTAAATTTTTCTTATTTTTAAGCCAATATATTTTCAAGACACATTAAAACGTAATTAGTGCAACATGAAACATCTTGAGGAAGTACAAAAATTTTTTAAAAAGATTTAAACTAAAATAAAGTCAAAATTATATTTATCAAATTAGTAGGAATACATAAGAATAATAATTTTCAATCTCAATCTTATTGAAGGAACATATGAAAACAAAATTCTGCATATAACTAACGTGTATCACGTGCAAGAAATGACCTGCATTCATTAGCTGAAATTATTCAGTGTAACTATGCACAATTAATCGGAGCAATATAATGTTTTGAAGTCAATTGATGAATAAATTCCTTTCTCTTAATTGCCCTTGACAAAGTTACAAATTAGTTCCAATAAATTTATTATTTATTGTATGCAAAATTTTGCTCTATCCATCACAAGTAATTAGTTTATTTGAAAATTAATTGAAAAGAAATTATAATGCGCATCTTTTGATGTTTGTTTCATTTTTAGAAAGCTAAAAAATATTCTTTAAGAAAGCTTTCTTCATTTACAGTAATTTCATATACAGTTATTTGCAGTAATTTCAGGAACAGAACAATAAATTTGAATTGATTAAAAATTTTTTTTTTTGCACAGCTAATTAGTAAATGAGAAAAAATAAATTACAACAAATGTTGTAATTTGTTGCAATTTATTAATATTGTTATTAATAATTAAAAGAAAACTACACGATATTCACTCAAAGTGTAATTACTTGAAATTTTATCATATTTAAAATTTTCAAATACTAATTAGCATCATTTATATTATAAGTAAAGATGGATAATTAATTTAAACCATTTCGTAAGAATTTTAATTTAATTAGATTGTAGCTTTATTAGTCAAAGCATATTCAAGATCGATTATCGCGATTGTGTATTTCTTTGCTTGAAACTTTCTAAGCATGCATAATTTCAAGATTACAAAATTTTAATTCCTCCATTGCTTTCAAAATACTATTTATTAAAATTTATAAATTTTAATTTTTCACCTTTTCTTACATTTGAATAATTTAAAAGTTCATATATTGACCTGACCAAAAAATTTGCTTCCTTTAATTTTAAATTTAATTCTAATCATTTCATTTCTTTTATTTTCCTCATTTTCACTCATTTCAACATTTCTTTAAATCAATACACCTTGCAGATAATGAGAAATGATTTTAAAAAAATGGAATTAAAATTATCCATTTTAATTGAACATATTTATTAGTAACAAATATATCTTACATATATGCATATTAAATATATGCACGTTATATGCATGTCATATGCATGTCAAATATGATGCATGTTATATGCATTTCAAATATATGCATGTTATATGCATGTCAAATATATGCATGTTGTATGCGTGTCAAATATATGCATGTTATATGCATGTCAAATATATGCATGTTGTATGCATGTTATATGCGTGTCAAAATTTCATTTGATTGAAATGAAAAATGACGGTCGATTTTTTAAATGCAAAAGACGAATATATTTTATTGATTTATAAGATTTAGATTCAGCGAATATTATCATTGATATATCATACTGATTATATCACATTTAATTTTTGATGATTTCATCATCATTAATATGTCTTATTGATTATATCATATTTAGATTCACTAGATATTATCATTAATATATCCTAATGATTTATGATATCATGTTTAAATTAAAAATGAAATCATTACTATCAATAATGATTGATAATTTCTAAGATGTTGATGATGTTACTGAACTATCCGTATCATCACTAAAATATGTTAAAAGATCGCGAAGCTCTCGATTAAGTCCTTTTATTTGTTCCACTCTTGCATATAAATTTGCTATTATTTCATCTGCCTAGAATTAAATGATTATTTTTCAGTGTAACATTTTGTGATATTCTTTTTAGAAATTAAAAATGTGAAATTATTTAAATCTAAATTAATTACTAATTAAACATTAAGTTATACGAAAAAAAATTAAATCATATTTGAAATTATACCGCTACTAATTATAAAATTTTGTTAATTTTATTCGTTAAAGAAAGTTAGAAAAAATTTTTTGATAATTAATAATGTGAAAATATTTAAATTTAAATTAATTATTAATTAATTAGTAAATTATATGAAAAAAAAAAGTTAAATCATTTTGAAATTATATCGCTATTAATTATAAAAGAAAAAATGAATGATAAATTATTTATTATTTTAAAAAATATATTAACGACCTGTTTCATTTCATACTGTATACGATCATGCCAAAATGTAAGCTCTCTATGAATTATTTCCTTGCAATTTGTTGACAATTCTATTGTCTAAAAAAAATTCTATATTAATTAAATAATTATTATATGATATAATATACATATTCCTTTATTATATTCTAATATATTCCATTATTTCACAATATATTTAGTTATCATTCAAAATTATCACTCAAAAAAAAAACAATAAAAATTTGACAAAAAATTTTCATTGCATAAATTTTGTTTTTTAAATTGTAATACTAATCATTTTGTAATTTCAAATTTTACATCTTTAATTAAACATATATAATAAATATTATTAATTATTCAAAAATAAATAATTAAAAATAAGTTAATAAATAATTAAAAAAAAAGGATTAATTGAAAACATAAATAAATAAATAAATAAATAAATAAACCTTTCTTGTATCGGAATTAAAGATATTATTAAGTTCTGCAATATTACTATTTTGAAGATGTTTTTCTCGACTGCATAATGGAATTTTCACCGGTGATTCTAATATTTTATTCAAATCACTAATATTTTGATGACTTCCTCCAAATCCATCACTAGCTGTTCTCAGAAGAGACGATGATGTCTGTTTATTTTAAATTAAATTTTAATTAATACATTTCAAATTTATCATCTCAATAATTGCTCTTTTTGAAGTTAAAATTTAAAATGATTACTGATAAGTAAATAAACTGAAAAGGAAAATACCAAATCCGGTTGACTGATATTTTCCGATTGTGTAATTTCACTTCGTGGTATAAAATAATCGTTGTTATTCGCATTTCCTTCTAAAATTTTCAAACATAAATTGCAATAATTAAAATTAAAACTTTTAAGTAAGAAATAAATTTCCTGCAAATGTTTTATTAATGAAGAATATTGTTCTAATTTTAATGGAATGATTAATGAATAATTAATCGATTAATTAAATTAACTGATAAACACGATTTGAAATGGTTGATCTGATAAGCATCCCATTGTTCGTCGTAATTCTTGCCAAACATTTTGTTCAATTTTACAATTCGATGATTCGTTTTCAGCCATTGTTTCTTTTATTTCCTTTTTGTTTTTATTTGTCTATTCTGCAATTTATTCATTAATTAAATATACAAATTGATTGAAATAAAATTTAAACATTTCAAAAGGAAAAAATACGAATTAAAATATTAAATTTTCAATTACTATATAAAGCAGAAATTAAACTATTATGTAAGGACAAAAATATTATGAGCATAATTTCAATTAATAAAAATAAAAGAACTTAAATACTTAATTACTTATAAACTTATTTACATATTATGCAATTTATAAAGTATTCATTAAAAAAATAAACATCAAAGAATTGCTTTTTCAAAAGACACAAACCAAAGTTTTTAGTTTTAATTAAAAGAAAAACAAATAAACTTTACTTATTCGACCAATCGTTAAAATAGGAAAAGTTGACAATAATTTTTTCCTCTAATTAATGCATAATTTAAAATAAATTAAAAAAATTTTATTGCCTTGAATAAAAATTTTTTCTAAAAAAAAAGTTATAGCAATAATTAAAATTACTGCTAACTTTTCCTATATTAATATATTAGTATGAATATATTAAGTACTAATTAACTAATTAATATGGCATAAAAATAGTATCAGCTAAAAAAAATTTTTCACTATGAATTTAATATTATTATCATTGTGATATAAACTTATATCACTGAATTTAATATTTTTATCACTTTGATATAAACTTATATCACTATGAATTTGATATTTTTATCACTGTTATATGAATTGATTAATATATATTAAAAAATGATATAAGTTAAAAATAAATAAAACAATGAATGTTATAAAATAATTATTGTTTCATTCAATAATTCAAATTACTAATTATTTAAAAAAAGAGCAAATTAATTGACGAAAAAGAAAACATAAATAATTTCCGTAATTTTATTGTTCTTTTTTCATTAGTTTAATTATTATTCAAATATATTCTCGTCAATGTAATATTTTCAAAAATTTTATCATTTTGAACATTTTGTTTTTTCTACCATAAAATTTTATTATTATCATAAAAACAATAACAATCTTTTAATTTCAAAATTTTACTTTATATTTTTAACGAACTGTCAAGGTATAATTATTTATTTAATTATTTTCACTATTTAGCAATTCATTAATTTATCGTTCATTTTATTATCTTATCAATTTTTAGCAGTGTTTTAAAATCATTATCTCTTTTTCTTTTTCTCGCCCAATTAGTGATAGTATTTTAATTGCCACCCTTTTAATAGCGTCTAACTTAAAATTGTCAACAAAAGTTTTTTTCATCAATATGATTTGAAATTTGCTTATACAATAAAATAAATCTTATACAATAAATTGCTCATACAATAAAAGTTCATTTTTTCTGTTCGCTTAAAATTCGACAGCAATTTAATAAATAAAATATCTTTGACAGAAAGAAAGAAGGAGAGAATTTCAAAGAAAATAATATTTCAATAAAACAAAAAACTCTTCTGAAATTTTAATTAATTTTATAAAATTTAAAAATCATATTTTACAAAATTATTTCATTTCAAAATTATTTGTATTAAAAAAAGAAATTATTCTAATTTCTTTCACCTAACAGTTTTCATACACCAGAAACCTTTATAAGCGGGAATAGGTATAATGGAAAATATTCTTTGCTTAATTTCTCTTCGGGCAATTCCCGTGAATTTTAAAACTATTGAAATAACCGGAGATCATTTGTTTATTGAAATAAATTTGTGATAAATTTTTCTTCCGTATTTTTCATTTCCATAAATAACCTTTCTTGATAAATTTTGTTTAATCATTCCGGATTTTTCATTTCCAGAAATAACCTTCAGAAAAATTTTGTTTCAATTTCTATTTCTTCAATAAACAATTTTGCAGGAAGTTTTTCTTATCTCATTTTTCATCCATTTAACTTTTTTATCTCTCTTCCATTTCTTTCTTTCTCTCTCTCTCTCTCTCTTTCTGTTAATTTGTGTGTAATATTTTTGGAAATGAAATAAGACGATTTATATGTCTTTCTCTTTTTTGCTAATTATTTTTCAATGGAAATTAAAATTTTTGGATAATTAATTTATAAATAGTTTATTTCTCTCTTATTCTTTTCCTTTTTCCTTTTTCCTTACCAAAATATTTCTTTTCTTTTTTTTTTTTGTTTATTTATTATTTATTTATTTATATCAAATAAACATAATTATGTAAATATGCAATTAATAACATTTAATATTTTATAACTGTAAGCAACAATAAAATTATTCATTAATTTATGCATAAAAATTAATCGAAGAAAGTTTAAAATGTATAAGAATTTAATATAAAACGTATATAAATAAGTATTTAATATAATATGTATAAGTACAGGAATAAGTAATATAATAGATATAAGTATTTGATATAATATGTATAAGTATATAAGTAAGTATTTAATATAATATGCATAAGTAACAATGTAAGCAATATAATAAGTATACAAGTATTTAATATAATATGTATAAGTATACAAGCATTTAATATAATAAGTATACAAGTAAGTATTCAACATAATATGCATAAGTATACAAGCATTTAATATAATAAGTATACAAGTAAGTATTTAAAATAATATGCATAAGTATATAAGTAAGTAACTAATACAAAACATATAAGTATTTATGAATGAGATAGGAATTATCTATTACAAACGCACTATTTCACAGATGCTTCCTTTCTTTCCCTCTCTTAAAGATTCAAAAATGGACGGAAAGGAAAAGAAAGTGAGAGAAATGTACGAAGTACAATGCACAGGTGGGAAAGCGCAAGAAAGTTTACAGAAGTGTGAATGAACACAAGTGGTGTAACTATAATAGTAATAAGATGCAATTGTTGAAGTGAATGAGTGGTTTGAAAATTCTCGTTTTCAGTGAAAAGAATGGAAAAGAAGAGGAGAAGAAGAAGAAGAGAGGAAAATAATGAAAAGATAATTTTGAGTAAAGTCTTTTTAAGTATTAAGGTAATAGAACAGAAAAGATAAATGGAAAATATTATTTTGTATTATCAACTTGGATGATAATGATAATTTACACCTTTATTCCTATTCTTTTTTCTAATATTATTTTCCATATTTTATGCTAATAATAAAAATTGTGAATGAAATGTTCAATGTTTCATTATTTATTCATTTATTTATTTATTTATTTATTATTATTATTATTATGTTATTATTATTATTATCATTATCATTATCATTATTAATTGCCATCATTATTAGAGAGGCTGATGACACTTTCCTATTACTAGGCTGAGTTGAGTTATTTTTGTTAAATAAAATACTAATTAATTACTTGAAAAGCTATTAATATTAATAGCTGTATTGCCTTCCCAATTTTTTTCATTTCAATAACATAATTTCGTTAATTAAACTTCTACAATTTTTTTTTCAGCAATAATTGAATTTGAATTATACTTTGACCTAAATTTCTAATTTCATTCTGTTAAATCATATAATTATTATCTCATTGTTTTTGCTACTAATTACATACAATTAAAAAAAAAAGACGAAAAACTTTTTGTTTATTAAAAGAAAAACAATGAATAAATAAAATAACAAAAAGAGAAGCCAACTTTTTTAAAACTTTAATCTTTCATTTTTTTCTTAGTCGGAAATTTTTGAACTTTTTTCCTATATTTATTTATTCAACAATACGGTGTTATTATTTGATGTTTTATATTTCGATGGATATTTTCCCAATTTTGCGTTTTTCATTCGTTACGGATATATTCGAAGCAAAATGATGATGACCTATACAACGAAGTGGGAAGACCTAATTTTCTTTCATTTCGTGTCACAATTTCTTCAACCTATATCAGCATTTCTTGCTCTTTTCCTGCAGCAACAACAATGACAATAACAACAACAACAACAACAACAACAACAACAACAACAATAATTATAATAATAATAATAGCAACAACAACAACAACAACAGCATCAGCATCAGCAAAAGCAATAAAAACAAGAACAATAATAACAATAGTAGCAACAATAATAGCAAATAACATGAATATTAATTACAGCATTTATTGCTATACTATACAACTACTATTACTACTACTGCTACTACTAACTACTACTACCACTGCTACTACTGCTACTACTAACTACTACTACCACTACTACTACTACTACTACTATTACTACTACCACTACTAGTACTACTACTACTACTACTACTACTATCACTACTAGTACTAGTACTACTACTACTACTACGATGACGACAACGACGACGACCTCTATTGCTTATATGTTGTACTTGTGAGACGTTATGTTATCGATGTATATGACACGCTTCTTTTGTCCCCGAAAATTTGCATTATAATGGAGTTAGTTATACGATCGAGTAATGACCATTGAATCATTACTATGAACTTTTTTCTTATATTGATTGTTTATAGATTTGTGTTATGTTATGTCACCCAATCAAACAATCACTTCGACAAACTCATTTCATTTTTTTCTCTCTCTCTCTCTCTCTCTCAAATTTTTCATTGATTTGCATTTTGCTGATATATTATTTATAATATATTATATTTTTTATCAGTGATAGTGTTAATGAGTAATTTAGGATTTCAATTTTTAATTAAATTAATTTTAATTTTATTGTCTTGAACTGCCATTTTTTAATTTCAACTTTTCTAATTTTTAATTTTCCATTTTGTTTTGAACTATAAAATATTCACTTAAAACATTTCATCATAACTTTATGTATTATTGCACCTTTTTTTTTAAAAGAAAAATCTTATAGGAAATAACTTTAATGTTTATACCTGAAATACTTACATGAATGAAACATTCTGATTGAAAACAATTTCAATCCATTCTATTTATCTCTATTCCTCTCTCTTTCTCTCTCTCTCTCTCTCTCTCTCTTTTCTTTCTTATACTTTGATAGTTTCAAATTTATCAACAATTTTGATATGGTTTTTTTCATTTATTTTTTATCAAAATTAAAATATTTAATTTAAATTACAACTTTTCATCA